TTGAACCTATAATACTTTGGTTTTCTGACTTCCTCCCCTACAATGGGTTTTCTCTTTTCTAAAGTGAAAACAAAACCCATCCTTCAACTCTTGATAACCAAGGTATTTTATATGTATTGGAGTCTCCTGCCTGCTCTCCCTGCCTTTTTATGTGAGTTGTTGCTTACAGTAAATACTGTGCATACAACCAGGGTTGTCTAAGAACATCTGTGTGATATAAATATGCATATATGCATAAACACCTTTTATTTGCATATATGGACATATAATCATACTTGTCTTTACAGCACAGAAATGTATTGTTCTATGCATAATGTATATTATGCATGTATTGTAACATGTTTGCATAAGCAGTTACTAACTTTTTCTTACCATTTTGTTTTTCTTTCTTCTGTTATGGAAAATACAGCCTGCTACTTTAATATGATAATCTGCTCTTGATGTCATTTAAAATTAAAACTACCTTTATGTTGAATTATATTTGTGTGCAGGAAGATGGAACTACTTCACAGTTCAGGTGTGATACCATATCTGATGAGAAAACAATCCCTCTCATTGTTGTGGTATTTAACAAATTGCATGGTACTTTTGTGATACCTAGTAGAGAAGCTGTCAAATAACTCAGTTAAAAAGCCCTCAATAAGTTAAATCAATTGGCAATGTAAACCTAGTTCCTCTAGTTTCTTTCCTTTATAGTTTGTTTTTTAATATGCTTTTGATTTTATTAATACAACAGCTAAAGTAGCTGTTCAAATTAATTTAATATATAATGATTGCTTGTTCTGTTTTGTTGTTTTCCAGCTCCCTCAGGCTCAAAAGGTAAAATATTTTAATCCAATCTTAGTCATTCAAAGCAGTCACCAGTTCTTCATGTTTCCATGGTGGTGTGAGTGTGGTACAGCAGTGATCAGTGAAATAGTTCACTGTGAGGGGCTCTGGACTGGGCTGCAGGCAGGGAGTTCACATCCAGCCCAGCTGAGGAACCTGCTGAGAGCAGCTCTTCGAATGTATGAGCTAGCCTACAACTTTGAAACAACAGGGAGGCTATTTTATCAACAATTTGAAATAATAGTAAGGATTACAAAATATAAAAGCACCCTATTACTCCACGTGAATCATCTCTGGATCATTTTATCTCTATTATAGAGACTGCGGAACCCGTGGTATAGCTGGTACCCTTTCACTGATCCCCACTGTATCTATCAGCACACCTCTGAACACATTCAACATTTGACTTCTCTAATAGGTTGCATAGTTTTCACAGAATGTGCTTCTTGCCTTTAAACCATTTCTGCATCGATATGGTATGTTAGCAGAACCACCACTGCACATCATGGTAGCACAGTGATTGTGGCAAAGGTGAAGAATTGCTTGATGCCTGTTGCATCATCCTCATATAGTTCACAAATATAATTAAAGCTTCCAGAAACTATAAAAGGTTTTGTGGTTTTGGTAAAAAAATATTAAAATGGAAAAAAGGAATGTAATACGCTGGGAAATTGCAATACTTGTCCAAATCATTCTTATTGTTCTTGGTAATGTACCTTTAATGACTCCTAATAAGGAGTCACAGCAATTAATCAATTTAACATCATTGATAGATTATGACAAAAGTTCAGTTGTTAATGAAAGCTATGGGTGAAGTGATCTTTAATGAATAGCTTTCAAAGAATGGTGAGGACCTCCATGGAATTCAGAACTTAATAATGATTATCTTTTTAGTTTAAAAAGCAAGAATATGAGATGGGAGCTTTTATTTTTATAATGCTATGTATATTTGAAATTTTCTTGTTCATGGAGCTCAAAAAATTCTATTTCAAATCTGCAGGTAATGTGCTATTTTGTGACACTGGGCTGTGTCTGTAGTTTGTTCTTGTTTTGATAGTTGCAGAACATGGTACCGATAATGTTGCCTTCTGAAAATAGATGATTTAAAGAAATATTTTGTTTACAGCTTCCAGGAAAAGTAGAAGGACTAAAAGAGTGGCTAGACTGACTAACTTGGGCTTTTTCATACTCACCTGCTTGTCTAAACATTTGTGCCAAATGCTTCTCTTAGTTTGCGGAGAGAAGAGAGAGCGAGGCTGTAGTGTGCTGCTGCAGAATTTACCAGATTGTGTCATGTAGTACTGTATTACCTATTCTGCTGTCTACAATTCTGAGCTATTAAATAATATTTTGGTACAAATTACTAAAGTTCAAGGGTAGTGAAAAAGCACACAGTTTTCATAGAAGGTCAAATGTGCTGATTTTTGGAGTGTTTACAGCTTGAACAAACGAATGCAGAGCTAAAACCACACATTTTGTATATGCATTCATAACTGACTGTGGTCTAGTTGACTGTGTGCTACTTTTGTGCAGAGAAAGAGGAGAGGGATGGGAAGGAAGGAATGGGATGGGGAGGAAGGACAGACACAAGTAATCCCTAAAGGCTTTTGATAACTTCAGGCAAAAAACATTCCTTTTTATAAGCATAGCCCGACAGCTTATGAACAAAAGAAGAGAATCTCTCTTGCTCTCTGCAAGGTGAAGGGAAGCAGCACAGCTGATGCATGCCTTTATGAATGACTTAGTCACTGGGGTACGTGTTTTGCCATATGGTGTCTGAACTTGCACTGTATTTTTGTTGGAATCTATGTATCATCTTGCAAATGTTTTCTCTATAAACATTTCAAACAGTCATGTCTCTCTAAACATGTTCACTTTAATCTTTGAGTGATCTGAAAGAAAAATGTGGCATTTCAAGTTTACCTTTACTATTTTGTATCCATTATAAATAGTTCATCATCTTGTTGAAATGTGTTATGTCTTATGTGTGACAGACTTTGGCCACAGTCTTTTCAGTGTTTAGTCAATGTTCTATGGCGATTAGCTATTGATTTTGAAGACCTGTAGGTTCTCAAGCAACAGTTAAATAACAATTAAATCTGTGACTGTTATGCTCTCTGCTCCAAGTCAAACCATTGCGAATTCAGAATTGGAGTGCAGGTGAAATGAAGAATGAGGAGTTTAAGGTGGATATGTCAGTTGCACCATGATGTTTGTCTTGAAAAGATCTTTGTGATATATCCTATATTTGAAAAAAAATAATACAGACCCAAAAAAAAAAAACAACCAAAAAAACCCCCTCACCATAATTTCAGGCAATAGAGGCGCTGATTTACTATGGTTATGTAGCTTTCAGAACAAAATATATCTAGGAAGAGCTAATGTATCTGAAAGAAGGAACCACTACCAGACAAATGCAACAAGTTCATATGAATTTTACTTTCCTCTATGTTGCTTTTCTGTATGTTTTTAGGTAGCCACCCCACAGGGCTGTGAAAATAGCAGTAAAATAAACTAATAACTCAAATGTACCAATTTTCAGATTTGGTTTCCAAAATGACCTTTATCTTTGAAATGCTTAGGAAAACAGCTTTTTGTATTCATCAAAGAGGAAAAGCTGTTCTTCCTTAATAGTTAAAAAAGGTGTTTTGTTTCCTAGTAGGAAAGCTTTACTTGCTTTCTTGAGCAAACACAGCAGGAGTCAAAAGCTGTTGCTCTACTCCTGCTGTGATGTTTTGTTCTACTTTGCTTGAGTGAAGAGGTAGAAGTGAATAAATTAGGCACACAAATCAGAAGCAAGTGGTTGTGTTTAGGAACATTTAGGATTTTTTTTAGAATGATTCTCTCTCAAATGGAATCAAATTTCCTCTGTAGAGAAATGTTTTTATGATATTTGTTGCCAAAAAGTTCCTGACAGCTTTCTTCTCTCTTTCTGTGTTAACCCTTAACTTCTGTAAGTAGTGCTGTGCCCTCTTTTTATCTCGATGCTTTCATCTCTCAGCTGTTTGGGAGCATCATTTATCATTTCCTACATCATTTACCTTATACTTTGAAGAGCTAAATTAACTGTCACTGGGAATAGAAAATAGAAAATTTGCAAAGCTGCTATTTCATTGAAGTGCGTGACTAGTGATTTTAACATTTTTATAAAATGATAGTAGTTAAGTTGAATCTAATGAAGTACAGAATAATTACAAACAGTTTGATTTAGCGTTCCTTTGGATCTGTTTCCTGCTGATGAGGTGCTGTTGTCTCACAGTGCTGGATGTGAGGCCAAACTTGAAGTGGCTTACACTAGGAGGATCTTTGTTGGTTGTTTCTGAAGATGTATTTGGGCTTGGTCTGCAGGGGAGGTAACCCTCTACAGCAAGGAATTACGGGGAAAATTGTAGAAATTAAAATCTTCTAAAAAGTGTTTTTCTCCAATTATGAAACTGTTCCTGCTAGGCATTACAGGTCTGTTTGACTTCTCAGAGAGTAAGTTCTGTTTTTTTATTCTTAACACCCAAGAGACATTTAGCCTGGGAATGCATTTTTCCTCATTCTTGAGATTTTATTTTTTTTTTAAAGTTTTGTTATTGTTTGCTCAGCATTTTTCACACTGAGTGTCCATGACCCTTGTATAGTTTTCTGCCTAAAACTGTTACCACTACATCTTTTCAACAGAGCAACTTTCTGTGGCAGATCACTGGTGCTGTTTCTTTCATTCGTCATTTTAGATGATGAATGTCGTGATAACTTAGAAAATCCTAGGAAGTAGTTGAAAACTGTGCTTTTCTTTGGGGGTCTGGTTTTACTTTCTCTTGCCAATGTGATCCAAAGTAGCAATTCTGAGACAGAATGTACTGGTGCATGTTGGACTACGAATTTGTGGTGTCCAGTTGATGAGTTTGGGAATCATAACGATTGTTTACATTTTCTTTTAGGGAAAAGCATATAATAATTGAGTAACAAAGCAGTTTATTGCTAATTACACAATAACATGAACTGTTAGATTTAATACAGTCATTCAGAGACTTTATCATTATTTACTGTTTGTGATACTTAACATTTTTCATTGTGTTAACTTCTAATTAAATGGTAATTAAAATAAAAATTCTAGCCAGTCCTGAGGATATCGGTGTTTGCTCTGAATATAACTATTATAAGCTGAATCTTTATCAGTGATTAGAGCATATATTACTGGTCTGAGGGTTTTTTCCTCAGAATCACTAAATTTTTCAAACATTTGCATGAGCTCTTTGAACTCTGCTACATGTAAGAAATTGTCAGACTTGAAAAGCAACAATGCAAAATACCTAGATCATTACTTCCTTTGGATTTTTTTAGTGGACTCTAGCATTAATTGTCTTAGCAGAAATAGCCAGTGGCTAACATTCTACTATTTCAAAGCATTTCTGCCAAAATGTCATTGCCAAGCAGATTTGCCAATTGAATTGCCAAAGAACTTGCCAATTCTTCACTATCTAACAATTTTGTGAAGCAAATGCTGCAGCTTGAGTTGATGACTCAGTAAAACACTGCAAATTCGAGTCATTACTCAGCCAGTTATTTGCTGACTTCACTTGTGGTAGTGGCCAACAACCTGCTCATGTGGCCAAACAAACAGAAAAATGAAACAGGCTGGATTATACAATTGCAATTCTGTAGAAGTGATTGCAGCAGCCAACTCTAGATGGTACTTGTAGATATCTCATAAGTACAGGGCAATCACTGTTACATGCTCCCACAGATAGTTTTGAGAGTTAGTGAGCTGTTCTTTTAGAATTTCCAAGGAACTACAGTCTCTGGGGGTTTTTCCTCCATTTAAAGAATTTCAAGTACCCTAAAACTCTACTGACAGTCCCTTGGCCACATCCTATCCATTAAATTGTTTCTAGTAATCTCTTGAGAGTGAGTGGACTCATAAAATATTACTGTTCTGGTACTTGACAAATGCATGATGTCAGAGAAGAACAACCCTGGGCAATCATATAAAATCTCTAAGCACTTCAAAATGTCACCTCATAATCAGCAGAATGCTTTTTCACTCCCTGGTGTGTATGGGTTTGGAACTATTGACTGTGATACCTCAGAAGGCTTCTCTCCATACTAATCATGTCAGTGTGCTTGAATGTTCTGCTCTGGCCAAGGAGAGTCAATTCTTTCACTAGTTTGGCAACATTTGAGTTTCAAGTCCAACCTTAGAACTCCCAATGTTTTGCCAAGTTTTGGGTTTTGTGGTTTTTTTGCTTAGTAACTTACTATTATTCCCTAATAGATCAAGGATTATATTAAGGCTGGACATATCTCTTCTTATGACCAAGGAAAACAAAAAAAAAAAAAAAAAAAAGAAGAGGACATGACCATAAATTCCACCTTATCCCTAGTGATTCCTTATCGAATGTAAACCTTCTTGAGTCAACCCCATTTGTGTTCCTGTCTGATGTCTGCAAACATTCCTTCTCACCATTAAGATAGTGCCCTCCTTCAAAAAATATACTTATTTGGGAAACTGAAATCCTCCTGAATTAGATTGGGAGCTGCAAGTCAAGAAATTTTCTAGATTTTGTTTGTCTGATTTGTTATTGTGAAATATGCTTCATGAGATATCTTTATCATTACAAATGACTTTCCTGAAGATGTGGGGAGCTGATAGCTGTTGCTTCTTTACAACAAAAACCTTTTAAACAATAAAGAAAAAAAAAGAAAAAAATATTAGAAATTCTACCTGAGTACAGAAAGTGGGATACTGATGTAGGAGTAGTAGGAGAATATCACAGTTGCAGTTGGGCGTGACTGTCACCTGTAGTATTTCTCAGGAAGTTCTCTATTGCCGTGTCCGTTTGGCTAAACACAGGTGCAGCAAGGCAGACTTTGTATTCTACCAAATCTCCACTTGACATTATAACTGTCTGTGTCAAATTTTTAAATGTTGGATAAGCCTCTTCAACTTTAAGCATTTGTCCCTATGAACACAAAGAGTCTAAGAGTAACTCTCAGCCTCCTGCATCATATGTAGATGGTGAAGATCTACAGGCACACACAGGAGTGCTTGTCTTGGGCATCGCATTTTTAGTCTCTGCTTTAGGGCAGAGATTTAGTCTGCCCAGAGGGCATCAAGAGAGATAGTCTGAGCACTGTCACTCCCCTATGGCCCATGATAAGCGTTCTACATGTTCCTCTTGGGTGGAACCAAGGTCAGAAGATCTGCTTTCTCCTGAAATTGAAGAAATACGTTGAAACCTGATGTGCAGAATCAGCTAATGCTTCATGCCGCCTCTGTCCAGCGAACTGAAACCGGATGGAGCAAAGATGCTCCTGGGATCCTCACTGGCTGTCAGCCTTTCTACCTCAGCTGTGTTGGCTGATGAGATCTCAGCCTGGACTCCAACAAAGTGCATGCAGCTCATGACCTCTTGTTCTTTGTTGCGAGAAAAGAGCCTGAGGCAATTTTGGCAGAGCTGACACTGGGAGAGATGTAGAACAGACCTCCAGCTGCTTTGCTACTGCACATGCTGCTTCCACAATCCGCGTTTCAGCCCCTTCTCTCTCATGGGAGAACTGCAGTAGGAATGAAGATGAGGCATCTTTCCTGTCGGTGGAGGTGGTGGGATGGGCAGAGCTGGTACAGTTCAGATGGGGCTGGGGCTGGGCTGGGCTGCACTGACTGCAAGTTTAACAGCATAAGTATCATTTAGATATATTGCTTTATCTCATTTAAAATGAAAAATTGTAATTGAAAAATGCAATCACATGTCTGTAATTGTTCCACAGTTCTTAGAGATAGTGTTTCTTTTTCAAATACAGCTTGCTGATGATCAGGGATTGGTGTTGATGACAACTGTTGCCATGCCAGTATTTAGTAAGCAAAATGAGACTGTAAGTATTCAGACTATTTCTGTCATATGGTAATGATGGGACTGCAATGAAATTGCTTTCAGGGACTTAATAACATTTTAGCCAACTCTAAAATTTTTCTTCACTTCTTATTTTGTCTGTAGTTAGTATCCCTTTATTAGCATAAAAATGTGGAAAAACAATTCCAAATAACTATACTCTAGAAACCAATATAAAATGATGAAACCCTATGTCTAAGAGAAAACCTCAGATGACACTAGGCCTTTGGGTTTTCTTACTTCTGTATTACTTTTTTACAGAGAATAATCTATATAATTTTCATCTTTGCACTGATATAACTCAGAATTTAATTAGATTATGTTTATGTCTGTTTATCTTTAATAATTTAACAGGTTGTTAAAGAAAGCTAAGTGTACTTTCCCCTTAATGCCTCGTCTTTCTCTTTTGTTTATGAAATGGCAGGAGAAATTGGGAAAGAAGGGAGTAACATTTTTAACAGTAGTTTTAAATTGAAAACCTATTTTGCGTGTGAAATTTTCCTGTTGAAGGATTCACTCTCAAACGCTTGCATACCTTTTCTATGTGAATTGCAGATAAAGTAGGAAGGAGCAATATTATTGATTAAATTACTGCTTGATCAGCTGAGTTCCCCACTTTTTAAATTATTTGTCTGTAATCACTTCTGCAGTGTAGCTGTGAGGTGAAATAAGTGGTGAGAATGTTTTTATTACTGTGGTTCTGAGTACATCTTTTATTGTTCTTTTCAGAGGTCTAAAGGGATTCTTCTGGGAGTAGTTGGCACAGATGTTCCAGTTAAAGAGCTTTTAAAAACAATTCCAAAATACAAGGTAATACAGAAATGATGAGATATCATTTATACTCAGTATAATACCAAAAATATAATTTATTTAGTACATTGATATATTTTACAGTAATGTAGTTCCATTATTTCATTAATTTTTCTCAGGAATTTTAGTTCTGCAATGTCTGAAATCAAATGCAGTTTTTGGTATCAAAATTAATATATGGCTTGATCTTCACATTTTTGGGATCAATGTGCTCTAGAAGGTAATATTAAGTATTGTCTGTAATCAAATCAGTTAAATTATTCAACCGCACAATCTAGCCAGAACACCATGCAAAATAAGCAGAAATTCAGGCTGAAAAATTCTGTAACTTTTTATGAAAACCTATCTTTAACCTGGCTTTAGGCTTCCTGTTTGTCTGTAGTACCTCCTGTCCAAATTCTGTGACTCCTGGAATTAAAGCAAGTGACACATTGCAGGAACTTAGACAAGTTCCTTCCTAACCAGACAAGTGGTTCCTTCCCTCCTCCCCAGCATTTGCTAGGTATTTCCCTCTACTTAGTTTTCCAAAGTCAGAGACAACTCTACTATAAAATTTTTAAAAATTAATTATCACTAAAGTTTTTAAAATTTGATACACTATATCTCTTTTGAAATGTGTTTAACTCAGTAAAAATAAGCTTCAGGCAAATGCAAGGATATAATTACCTTTCATTTAAGTTTGATGCAATACATTAGTATGTCACTACTTCTCTATGTCTGAAATATTTTACTATAGTGCTCTTTAATTCACAAGTGAACATTAAATTCATGTTTTCCAGTTAATTCCTAGTGGAATATTTTTGCATGACAAACAAGCACATAACATGACGCTGCAGACAGCCTGTTTTAAGGAGTGCAGATATTGGAATAGGTACTTTTTGACATGTACCCATACTGAGCATATTACACTTTCCTTTTAATTGGCTGCCATGCTCTCATTTACTGATTTCCAAGAGGGTGAAAGAAGAAGCTGACTTGTGGATAGCTTTGAATATTCTCACATGTGTTTGTAGATAATTCTAGTTAGGACAAAAAAATTCCTCATATCAATTTTAATGCTAATTTGAATACATAAGCAATTACCAAATGATTTTCTAGATTAACATGCAGTAACTAGAAAATTTAAATGAAATGAGACTTTGATAAAAATAATGCATAAAATAGTGGCAAAAACGTTGATAAGGTGTATTGGATTAATTTCCTGTGACCTGGATCCCACAGGCCAGGTGTTATGCAAATGGAGCAGAAAGGTTGTCCCAGTTGGAAAAAAGTTGAACACTATGGGAAGAGGCAGCAGATGAGTGCACACTGATATCAGAACACAGTGACAGAGACATTGCTGATCAGGATCAATAACAGGGAACACTCTCAGTACACTGACCAACAAAGTTTGTTAACAGCAACTCATATTATACGTTTGTGTTTGCAGAAATATTGCATCAGTAAAAGGTAGCAGAGGAAGGAGCAAAATGTGCTCCTTTGCAAAATTGGAAGCAATGGAAACAATCTTTGGAGCAGCCTTCTAGTGAGCTATGGGAAGAGCAAGTTTCATTTGTAATGAGAAGGAAGAACAGTGTTGTGGTACCTGCAGAAACAAAAACTTGGCTGTGCATGGCTGGATAGGAAAAACCATATCCCAGTGACTTTATTCCTAAGTAATCTCTAAGATTTGGACATAGTCTGAATGCAAGAACTAGAGAGAGTGGGGGCCCTAAATAACAGGTATTGCAACATAGTAATTCAGAAAAGGAGAAATTTTTAAGACTTGGTTTTCTGTGAAAGCAATATAAAATCCTCTTGCTGAATATTAGACTTTTTATTTGAAGGTACATTTTATATTGCAGGAGGTCCTGCAAGTGAGGGTTATTACAGGAGGCACCAATATCGTGCAATACAGTTAGATTAGTGAAATCACTTGAGTTACAACTTCCAGTCTCACATACCATAAACAAAGACTGCAATGGCAGGAGCATAATCACCCCTGGGATCCATTCCTGTAGAGGCAACACATGAAATAAAATTCACACAGGGATATAAAATGATTGCTTAGAAAGAGAAATCTGCTGACCTGGAATTCTCTCAGCTTCGATGAGGGCGATTTTATGCCAGGGAAGATGGATAATAACCAGAAGCTATTTTCAGCAGTCGTTATCTAGACTAAACTTCCCCAGATGTCAGTGGCAGTTCCTCTTGAATAAGGTGGGATTGAATTTAGTAATATAGGACTTCCATGTGGCATTTTACAGCAGTTAGAAAAAGGTTTTTTTGTTTCTGAATCTACCATTTGGAGACAGAGTTCAAGGTTCAAAATGGCAATGCTGCTGTAAGTGGGAGTATCTCTCAAACCAAGGCATTTTATGTGCAGAGACTGTGCAATTTCACATATTGCCCAGAACACAATAAAATACTACCCTCGGAGTCTGGGTATTTTTTCCTGTGAATTATACCACCCACATTTGTTTCCTTACCTGACTTCCATTGCTTGGATGTCATTCCCCAGCTATGAACACAGACAATTATACTTGAGATCTGCTATTTAGCCAACAGCTTATTCCCCTGTCATACTATAATAGGTAAAATATGTCCACTGTTATTATTTTGGTTATCCCCCCTTTATGAAGAGATGCCAAGAACATATCACCTTCTATTACTTTCACTGAAGTTTATTGCTTTAGGAAAACCGCTAATTTATGAAACAATCTTCTCTATGGCAGATACAGTTGACCATATACAATTATTCACACAGAGACACTATAAATCAACCTGGTGTGTTTTCCCTGTGACCTCGCCACAGTATCGTGCTCTGGTTTTGTACTTCCAGAGAATTACAGAAGCTGATAGGCTTGCTCTCCTTTTTGCCTCTTCGAAATGATTCTGACTTGTCAGCCTTGCTCATGTCGCTTCATGTTAGACAAATTCCTAAGGACCCACTTTAGCAAAGCATTTAAGAATGCCCTCAAGTAAAATAAAAAGGGTTTCAGTAGTGAGAATTCTAAAGTGAACATTAAAGCAAGAAAGTTCTAGAATTTTGAGTTTGATTTTTACTTTATTTGTTCTCAATAGCCCAGTGCATTAAGTTGCTAAAAAAATAAGAAAATATATATGTGGTGTTATATTATGTTACTTAAGAATTGAAAAAAGCAGGTGAGAAAGGATAGTGAGATGTGCTCTGTGTGGCAAACGTTACATGGTGAACCTGTAGAAAAATTCTGCATAAGCAGCAAGTTTATGCTAAGAAGGGATGTTTGAATGACCACGTGAATGATTTGAAGGTACATTTATTGCATTCAGTGGATGCAATCAACTGTGTAATAGGCGTATTGTCAAAAAGACTAGTATTGTTATTTAAATAAGTACAATGCTAAATTTGATTACCAATACTGCTAGACCTCATAAAGCATTTCATTGTCCTCGAATAATCTCCAGTTCCATTTAGTACAAATATGTATATTTAGAGGAGTTTCTTTAGAAATATGCCTTCTGTGGCTTCAGATGAACTGGAATTAACAGAGAGCCTATAAATGGGAAAATGTAAATATCACATATGACAGGTCACTGCTTGCTTGCTATAGCTGTACATTCGTTATCTTTGATTTAAATGGTTCTTTAACAACAGCTGTTGAATAGGTGAAGTAAGCTGTGCCTCACTACTCCTGGGAATAGGTGAATTTACTAAATTCCAGTACCTCTGTGCTGGGCACATGGTGTGTGTCACAGGCTGTGGCATCCCATATATATGTGTATATATAACTCACTATAACACAACAAGTGTTACGCAACACAGAAACAAGTGACCTGCATAGGAGAGTGTTTGTGACATTTTAAATTTATACTACGTGCTGAATTCATCACAATGTCACGTTCTCATTTTCACAAAATGTCAAGTATCTTTGCCTATGTTGTAATAAAACACTGTGGATAAGGCTTATGAATTGCTAATTAGTATTTCTTTCTCATTTACTTTTACAGTTAGGTATTCATGGATATGCTTTTGCAATTACAAACAATGGATATATTTTGACTCATCCAGAACTGAGGCCTTTGGTAAGAATACTATTTATCAGTCTATTACATTTTGCTATATATGTTGCATTTGGTTTTTTTCTTGGTGTGAATAATGTAATATAAATGAAAAATAATTAAATACAATAGAGCAGTTACTTTATATGGCTTTATAACACATTATAGTTCTTGGTAAATTTAAATCTGGAAACAAAGGTTAGCATGAAAAAAAAAACCCAGGGAAAATAAATATACAAGTTGCTTCTGCAGAAGATGCAGACCTCCATTACTGCAAAATAGCAAAGCCAAAAATTGCTGTAATTATGTTCATTTTACAGTGAAATGGAATGTCGGAATGCTCCAGCACTGTGTAATAACCCCTATTTGTCATGCTAAAGTGTTAAAGTTAATTTAATATATGTGCAGAAATTTCACTAAAGCATATTTTTAAGCAAAATAGGATCACTAGGGATTTTTGTACTAAAAGAGAAATAGCGTCAAATTTTACCTTTAGTTTCCCTTATCATCTTGTTTGCATTAATCAGAGAAAGAAAAATAAAGTGCCTGTTACGCAAATGTTTATCAACTTGACGCCCCAGAGAACTGGTACATTCCTGGTTGCATCATTGTTTAGGAACAGCACTTCCAAGTGTTCCATCACTAGTGACTCCCAGCAAAGCCTTGGTATTAATAGTTCCACTGCTGTATCCACATGGCTGCCATATGTATTTCTCTTGCAGGCATTTCAAGTAATCTCTGATTTCAACAGGGTTTTAGTAGAAAACAAACATTAACTGGGGGGATAATGTAGTATGAAAATAAAATTATTGAAAAGCGTGATTTATTAAGTCATTAGCGCATCTGATGTTTTCATCCAGCAAAAGAATTTGTCTTTCTAAGATTTGGACTAGGAATTATACACTTAATTAACATTTGTATTTGCACTTATTGTTTCCCTGTTTATTTTTTAACTGGAGTAGAGTTTATGAAAAGTGCAACAGGGAAACTTCAGTTGGTGAATGGAAAAGTATTTTCAGAGTAACTTCACAGTAAAATGGACAGACAATCTAATGGCAACCCAGACCATAGTATCTTGGAAGCAATCTTAAATTATTTAATTGTCATTTTTCTTCTAAGAATATCACCCATGATTCTGGGTAGTAGATTTTTTTTTTTTTGCAACTATGGAAAGGAGGAAAATACCTGAAGAGAATATGGATAATTACTGACCAATAAACAATACAATTCACAGAAATGGCTCTTACAAATTATCCCATTGGCTTTTTCACCATTCAGTGGTGAGTCACTAAATCTACATATCCAGGTATAGACAGCTCAGACCTTAGTCCAGTTAACGTGCTCCAGTGACTGTTCATCTCTACACTCCCTACAGATGATTTGTCATAATTTGTCATATTTGTATCGTCTTGTTTTATGGAAATTAGGACCTCTGCTACCCAAACATATAAATATCAGGGAGTGAAAAACTTCCAGCCTCTATAGAAGCAGTTTACTTTTACCATCTTACAGATGGTAATGAAATCCAGGAGCAGTGGATAGCTTAGACTGGCAGAGGGTGTCACCCTCTCCCTTATTTCTGTTATGTTTTAATGAGGCAAAAGGTGATGTGCTGTTACTATCCCTCACCCCAGTATACATTTTGAAGGCACTTATTTCATTACCTTATACAATCATACCTTTTAAAATCAAAATGTTGGGCGGTAGCCCATGAGCTGTCAGCTAGGGGAACTTGTGATATATTCATGGTCTGTTCATTTTTTGGAAGAGTCATTTCTACCTCTGGATTCTGTCAGTAGTGGGTAATGAGAGTCTTCTGTTGACTTCAGTGGAGTTTTTGAGAGTGAAGTGATTGCTGGCCTGCGTCCTTAGTTTAATATTGCAGGCCAAATCCTCATACTGTTGTAACTAATGACAAAACATCTCATGAAATTTGTAACAATAAGTGTGTGGAAATAGGCATATAGGTCTGAAATTAGATAGTTCCTTAAAGATATTATCTAAAATTATTTGTGTGTCTTAGAGTTATACTCAAGTTTCATTGATCTGACTTGATCCACACTGGTTTATACTCTTGTTTTCCTACAGTTATGTAAAATTAGAATATTACTGGACTCTCAGATTCCTAACCCCAGTGGCCAGATCTGTTAGTTCTGAAGCTGATGTACTTGTTTTTTAAGGAATTGTCTTCTGGAACACAAAGCAGAGAGGCAGGATAGCAAACAGCAAAGAGTGCTTCCTCTGGCACCAGATTTTTATCTAACAGTGACCAATACGTGGAATCACTAAGCTGGCTATATTATCTTGGTGATTATCCTATTGGATTTATATTTAAAAAGGCTTTCTTTGGAAATTTCCTCTCTTGTTTCTCCTGCTGTTTGGGGGTTTTTGTTTGTTTGTTTGTTTGTTTGTTTTGTTTCTTTGAATAAGCTTGGCTTTTGGTGAGGACGATCAGTTGGGTGCCCATGGGCAGCCGGTGGGAGGGATCGCAGGAAGGAGAGGAAGGTGCTACCTAAATCCTCAGCAGGTACTCGCAGAGGCTGGGACTGTTGCTGTAGCAGCCCCGGGACCTTTCCCATTAAGTGTCCGAGTGCCTGTTAACCCCTCAGAAACTCGGATTTTGTTCCAGCCGTGCTCCTTCATCCAGCGGCGGCCCCGGACAGGCTGCACTGCGGGGCCGGCCCAGGCGGTGGCGCTCCAGCACCGCTGAGGGGCGCGGGGGGAGCGGGACGAGCCGCGGTGACACAGCCTGGGAACGCATCCCGGGAACACATCCCGACTGGAATCGAGGTGGAAAATTGCCGTGGTCATCCCTCGGCTCTGTTTCAAAGCCTTTTTTCTTTCTTTTTTTTCTCTCTCTTTTTTTTATTTTTTTTTTAATCATGTATCACGACAGTACGCTTTGCTTGTCTTCCTGTATTACAACCTAAGTCGCCTTTCCTAGCAAGAGTACCCCAGTGGGAACTCCAGAAACTATAGCTGATGCTAATAACATAATTTCTTTTTTTTTTAGTATTGTTGCATCAGAATGCTCCAATCTGCTGAATTTGATGAAAAGTCTGTACTTTTACAGTGTAGTGGGGTTTTTTTCCCACATGAGAATATTTCCAGTTGTGTGATGTAATTTTGAATTTCATACTGAGTTGAAACCCCCAATTCACTGTTTAAAAAAAAAAATGTTTGGGAGTTCAGAAACGAATTTTGAGATTTTCGAGGCAGTAACTTGGTTTCTGAGGCTTCTTACCCATGTTGAAATGTAGACACGAGGACACAGTTTTCCTCAGCAGCGATTATGGCAGATTGAATCACCTGCTTTTCAATAGCCTCTTAACACTTGCAGTATACCAGGTGTTACACCACTAAATTTTAAAATGTAAAATATGTCATCACGCTGTTACAGTTTGCCAAAGAAATTAGTTTACTCAATGTAAAGGGAGAGTAAGAAACAAATACTTTCTACGTCCACTTATAAACAAGCACCACATTAATCGTGGCTGCTTGCTCGTTGCTGCAACTGTCACTGTACAGTCTGTTAAAGGTTGGTGCCAGAGGAGAATTGATTTCTCAGGAAAGTGTAGTGGGATTACAGAGAAATTAAGGAATGTCACTGAAAGATTATTGTCTGCCACAGTCACAGATTGCCACCCTTGTGAACCTTATCTGGAGTCGGGGGTTTGTACTGTTGCCTCTCTGCCCCAATGTTTGGTGGCTTTCAATGAATAATAGCAAGATTGCTACTAGGTTTTATGAAGCCCGTGGCTTTTTTGATCCATGGTTAGCAATGGAATTTTTATTTTTGTTCAAGGAGTGGAAGAGGGATTTTTTTTCCATAATTGCTAGGTTCATTTAGGGTAGAATACTCAAAGATCCTGAACAAGGACCTTGAGTTCCTTAATTAAAGAAAACACGCATTTGAAGACAAATGCATATGTTCTTGAATCAAATTGCATCTTTTGTTCAGATTCTACCATTTTTTTGATAAAAACAAGGTTAAAACATGTTCTGATTTATGAATTAATCTCATAACATCCTTGATTATTAAGGATTTTGTAATAAAAAAAATCGAAATCTTCTATCTCTGAGAAGATGGAGGCATATATTCTTACTCTCAGTATAAGCTCTGGAAGGCTTGTAATGGGAGTTTATGAATGTCTGTATGTGAATACTCTACTTATTAGTCTAAATGAATCCAACTGATACAATGCTTTCTATACATGGATGCATATCTTTAATTTATCAGTCCGAATTAGGGAAAGTTACACATAGAAATCAAAGCCCATGTAAAATATCACAATGCCCTCACAAAATATACTGGTGGTTTAGCTGCCTGAGTAGGTTACCATTTTAAACTTAAAATGTGGACTGTCACAATATATTGTATTAAGCTACAGGACCTGGAGTATTTGAAGATTGCTAGATCAGTATTAAGTCTTTTGTAGCTGTAAATTCTGGGAAAATTTGTTTCTCCTAATATAGAAAAACAGAGAAATCCAAGTCTCAGGGGAAACATTAATGCCCCACTTAAGCAGTGTTAGCCTTTCATAAGCAGCAAATCTCATTTCTCTCTGGGGAGTCCCGCCTGGAACGTAAGATAACCTACACTTACCCTTGCTTTATTCAGCAACTCCATAAAACTCTACAGCTGTAGCTGACAGCAGAATATTTAAATGATTTGAACAGTGTAAATGCCTCACGTTCATTTAAATAACTGAAGAATTCAATCACTTGAATGCCAATGATTATTCCTATTGGAGTTTACATTTCAAAAAAAAAGACAGCCCATCTGAATCCCTGTGAGAGCATTAAATTGCTATCTAATTAGAAGTGCAAAATTACATATATTTAAAAGATAATTAAAGGTTTGAAGGCTGTTGAATAACTGGTTGTACATATAAATGAATCACTGAAAATTTGTTAGCAATATGTGAAGCTTTCTTTTATTCTTTGCTTTCAGCTTTGAAGTTAGGTATAACCGAGCTCAGGGGTTTAAGTCTGGTAGTATTAAGATAAAGGCAGATGTTTTT